ACGCAAAGAAAGACCGCATCCCGTCCCAATCTGCTGACTTATAGTGCCAAATACGGCGACAACCCATAAAGCGGGGCCGTGAAGGGCGCGTAGATGGCACAGTACTCCGGACCACACAATGATCTGATGAACCCAATGGCGGGTCAACAGAGACTTGATAGTTCTCCGGATGAGAAGTCAGCAGAAGGTCCAACAAAGAGGGTTTATGACCATCCACATCTGGTATTCGCGTAATCGCAGGGACCATTTGTGTCAGGTCGTAGGCTAAAGCAAAGTCGTGAAAGGATCTTCCCGCGTGATCAGTGGTTTCAGAGCCGAGCCAATCGGCATGGTGGGCGTTAAAATCGCCAAGTATCACGATTTCAGCGGTAGGAACCCTTTCGAGCAGGGAATCTGTAGCCATTTGGATGTGCTCAATGAGTCGGTCAGTTTCGGTATTTCCGCTATGGGACCTATACAGGCATGCGTAGAATCGCGGATGGTCATCGCAGTCTACGCGCAGCCAGAGGTTAGATAGGTCCCTTCCTTCAAGCGTCCCGAGGCGACGAGAACAGATATCCTCTCTGACGTACACGCAAACTCCAGCCCGCGGCACAAATGAATGTTCCAATTTGTACCCCGGGTAGGATAGGTGGGAAGTATCAGCCGGGGAGGATATCTGAGTCTCGGTAAGAAAGAGCAAGGCCGGCTTCGCAGTCTCTAGATGATAGTGGACAGCGTTGATGTTAGAATTAAGCCCCCTAACATTTGTGAAGTCCACGGCGAGTGTGGACGGGGGTGCCTTTGTATAATTGCTCCGTTTGCCCCGAGGACGATGACTATTTTTGTAAAGCGCAGAATTGCCCCCCCAGAATACGAAGGGCAGCCTGTGCGTCCACCACCGGGTGCTGAGTGTCCCGGTGGTGGACGCCCAGAGGGGGATTCTCCACCGCGAGCGCGTGTGGTACCCCCTGGGGTAGATTCTGTTTTTTCTGCACCTTCATATTTCTTGTGTGTGTGGGGGGGATGGGCTCCGGGAATCTCTCTACCGCACGAAACGCGAGTACAAGAAGGCGAACCTTTTGCATCACTTCACGCCGGTTTTCTGAGAGACAGTGGTACTGCCCCGGTCGTGCCTGCCCATTTGGCTGAAGCCCGAAGGCAACAGCATGGCACTCCCACTAGGAAGGGGTTGACTGATTGCGCTGATGAAATAACCTCTGTCACAGGTTATTTCACCAGTGGGCGATGGGGTCGTCACGTCCCGACGCCAAAATGCATGCGGTGGCCCGGAGTGAAGTACCGTCTCGCCTTGTTGAGCACACCAAGCTTTTTGGAGGCTAATTTAGCCTTTCCCTCCAAGTGACCGCGAAACTGAACGTCGCTCGATATGTCAACGCCAAGTATTCCAATGCTGGCTGTGGCTTTAAGAAGAGTGTTTTCGAAAAGAGGAGTAGCGACAAAGGGTGTTTTTTTAGCGGTTAAATTGGACTAGGTTTTGTCTGCCCCAATCTGAGACTCCACGTAGTAGAGTTTCGACTTCAGACACAAGTTTGTTCCGGTACTCATCAACAACTGCCCGAGAAATACCTGCCCGGCCAGTGTAAAAAGTATCCCCAGTGCTGTCATCCGCATAGCAATGAATGTTGCTAAGTTTCAACATATCATTGATATGCAGAAGAAATAGGGTCGGGGATAGAACACAGTCTTGGCCTAGTGACTTTAGCGTGCGGTCGAAGGTTCAATAACCGACTGTGCACCAATGGACTGTCTTTCAATCTGCGTATTTAACATTTCAAACGGTGAAAGAAAACCTCACATCGTAGGGGAGGAAACTGGCTTGACTTAGACCCAAAAAGTCGATGGCATGTGTCAGGCACAGGTGGAAGATCATCTACTTGCTTATAAGATTGACAAATGATCATGAAACAGAAATCTGAAGCCCAGACCTAAAAAGGTTCACTGGTTTATTTTGAGCGTTCTAACGTTTGAAAACTTGCTGATACAATCCATATTCCAGAAAGTAACGTGTGTATAGGGTCAGGTCAAAGTAGATTTAAGTTTAGTTTGAGATTCCGTATTCAGGCCTATTCATTTCCTGTTGCGGGCTTAGATATTTTCAATACCTATAATAATCTATATTAATATTATAAAAATCTCTTTTTTGTACGTTCCTGACGAATACAAAAACTCCTGAGCAACCGTGCGTAGCCGGGACAGGCCGCTAGTAACTTATAAAACTATTAAATTATGTAATTCATGTAAATTAATCTGATAGTTTAATATTTTCTCTCCATAACAAATTTTATCGCATTGAATAAAGAAGCATGGCCTATATATTCTCAATTTAATGAAACGTTCGTGAGTAGAATGCCAAATTAATTGCAGTATTATTTCAGACTCATAATATTAAAAATTATTTGTTTTTATAAAGGGTTCATAGTGTTATAATGTTTTATCATTTGTTAGTATAGCGTTTTATTTGAAAAGTTTATTTTGGATACCCTTTTTAAGAGATTTTCAAATGTAGAGGGGTGAAATAATAAATCGTTGCATTTGTGAAACTAGCAAATAGATCAGTGTATAATGCAATTCTTAACAAGGGTCGTGATTTCTAATGGCTAAACTAAAGATTTCTGGTGGAATTATTAAGAAGTTTGAATAATAAAGCAAATGACAACAAGTGGCTAATTAACTACCTACAAGTTTAAAAGCAAAACAAATCATAAAAATCGTGAGAGTCAGGGGATGTTTATATGACACCTTTGGGTACGAATTGATGAACAAGACAGGTCAAACTGATTATAAATCTAGTCTATATAGAAGATATATAAGATTTATAATAATTAATATTGGACCCCACAGACGTTGTCCTGCATGATGTTTTAAGCGATTAGGATATAACACAAAGTATGAAAGTACCGACTGCAGCGCCATCTGCCGGGCTGATTTGTGAATCTAAAGTATTCAGGACTCCACCCAGGCACATACAAAAAAATCCATCAAATAGTTCCAGCCGTTTAAGAGATATTTAGTGACATACACACGTACAGTAGTATTATATGTATGTAAGCTATCCTATCTTTTAAGTTAGATCAAACTGCAAACGGTGTGCAAATTTGATTGAAATCGGTTAAGTAGTTTAGGAGTCCATAGCAGACAAACAACGTGACGCGTAATATATATATGTATATTAAGATTATATTAACTAAGCAATCATAAGTTCATTGTTTTAATATTTGTACATAACTAATACAAAAAAGGGGTTTTCAAATAAAATATTTTGTGTAATTTTCTAACGATTTATTTTGAGTAATATCTTTCGAAACTAGATTTAACTATACAATTAATCTTAAAAATATTTTACAATATTCTTCCAATTCAGTTGCCAGCTATCCTGTAATATTTGTAATTTCCTTTTTACCCAATTCCATTCAAAGGACTCATTCTGACAGACCATATGTGTAAATACATTTAATAAAAACAAACATTCGCTGAACATGATTACTGCAAGCCTTGAAGACGTCGTATTTAGTATTTGTATTTAATATGCGTTTATTTCCATAATTTTTTGCATAAAACAAAGACAATATTTTATATACATTTAAATTTTACTTAGATTTAAGAACAAAAGGCCACAGGCCGTATCGTATTTAGTTAAGTTTCCGCTGAAATTATCGGATATGTCATAAAATATAACAACTAACAAACATCGTTTTTAAATTATGAATTTAAAAAGTTTGATTTTATTATAAATTAAGGCACCTGTATATAGAAGTGTTAGAGGCTACAGCGTGCCAATCTCGTCCCTGAGGTCGTAGGTTCGAACTCCGGCTGTGCACCAATTAACTTAATAAATAATAATCCTAAGTAAAAGACTAGCATGCCTTAGACCCAAAGAAGTTAACGGCGTGTGCCAGACGCAAAAGGCTGATCACCTTTGCCTATCATGCCTTATTATTAGAAAAAATATCATAAGATACAGAAACTTGGGACCACGACCTAGGGTGGTAGCGCCACTTTCTTTATCTCAAAGATACATTATAAAGACCCTCAGCACTTATCGTGTCCCTTTATTTTTTTAGCTTGTTTTAAGTACAGCCTGTAACACGATAGCGGTGGTGGGCCATGGTCTGATGGCAATCATTATTTAAATAATTTACTTTTCAATTATGGAATGACAAGTTCAAAATGTATATATTTTAAGACATATCCGAATCTATATTATTTGATTATTGGTGCATCACTGTCATAAATGTGGTATGGCAACAAATTAAATGCAATTGTTTCATACATAGCCAAAGAATTATGCTTGAATTTGTCATGTTGAAGTTCAAATTCATTCCATAATTAATTGTACTATGTTGTGGCACAATAAAATAACAATTATAACAGATTGTACCTCAATATCTTATATTAATTTTAATAATAAATTATGTCTAATTTTCTACATTATTTACAATATATTTCGTTGCGTGAGAGGGACAATCAATTAAAATAATGTATGATATTTCTTGAGTTTTATTATACAGTCAAAACCGTTAACGACGACATCGTTTAGAACAACATACAGATTATATTGAACAAAATCAAAGGTCCCGGCTGAATTCTATTGTATTAGGTACTTAATAACAACGTCGTTGGCTGTTACGATTATCGGTTTTTACGACCAAATATGCGTAGTCCCTTCGATATCGTTATAACAGATTTTTACTGTAACACAACATCTAAAATTGTTCCTAACTTTGACGCTTCATGCGAAATTTCTAGACAATACTGTGATACAAAAACTCAATAAATAGCATAGCATATCTTCCTAAACCTAGTTTATACATCTATCACCAATAGATTAATATAGAGGAACGTCAAATAAACAACATAATATAAATGCAATAATTAAAATATATATATATATATATATACACATATATAATTATAATAGCATGATAAATATCTATTTACATTTTCATCAATCGTGATTGTCCATTGTCCTATCCATATGTACAAGCTTAGCTGTCGGGTCAGAAAATTACAGTGAGTGGTCTCCTAAACTCTCCACTTTGGGTACTCTGCGCGTACTGACTCGGGTACTGCGGCATGAGAAGCCCAGGCGACTGGTAATAGGGCAGAGACGGCGAGGGATTCGACCCAGTGGAGGAGCTGCCCTCCGGGCGATCGTGCTTCGGTGTTACGTCAGGGGATTCAGTAGAGCGTGGAGAGATACTAGGAGGTACGCTCAACCCAGCCATCGCGGCAGCTGACGCCTCTGAGTACATCTTGCTGATGTCCATGGGATACCGTTGCTGTTGTTGATCCATGTACATGTAGGCTTTAGACAAGGCCGCGGAATCGAGGTATCCTCTAGCAGGGTCGGGGTACATGCTGTAGCTTCTGTATTTGTCTTCTATGGAATATTTTGACATATCCATCGTACTACCCACCTGTAATGGAGGAAATGGATTATTTATACCATGAAAACATATAATAAATCGACTAGTATATTTTAAATGATATTGGGGGAACAAATTGAGTTAGCGTAACAGATATAAAAATTCAGTTTTAAAGTATGCACGTGAGGTTTTGTACAGGGCTTTTTATATTATCACATTAATTTGATTGATAAAAATATAGTTTAAACGTCATAATCTAAAGTAGTTATTTTGACAAGAAAAATGTAAATAAATGTATGGATTAAGCCTACGGTTTACCATAGTTATGTCGATATGCGTAGGCGCAGTGTGTTTACTATTTGACTTTGATGATCCGGAGCATCAGGCATAAATTGGATGGCTTTGATAATTTAATTTAACGTATATAACTTAGATTTTTAATAACTAGATATTGTGTTATACATATCATATAACAAATATACATTTCAACAATAAAAAAAATAACGTCGAATCGTTAAATTCTCTTTAGTTTTTTTAGAAGTCGGTTAAAAAAAGAATAAGATTTTTTGAGAGTACGATTATTCCTCCAAATTTATAGATTTGTCTCGCTCACTAAAAATCTTTGACGCACTGCTAAATAGTTCGGGTAATACACACTATTTAATGATTATAATTTAGTATTTATGGACGAAATCAAAATATTTACAAATCAGCACCTAACATTAATTTCATAAGCGGATTATCGTTTTGTAATCTATGAACGAATACGGAAAAAAACATTCTCGCACATCTCATTTAAAATAAAGCTCTATACAAATTGAATAGAATTGAAAATCCTTTGATAAATGTTGTATTGTGTAACAAATCAAAGTTAACAAAGCGCTCGAATAAAGCTGCGAGTTTTAAATTTTTTAATGAAGTGAGCCGCACAATATCGTGAGGTAAATAGCCGTTTGTGTGACACAGTGTTATAAAGTTTGTAATGGATTGAACTATTATAAAAAAAAACTTCTTTATATGACAAATAAAGCCATTTTACTATGTTATTGACATATTTAGCAATAGGAATGAGCTCACTTTTATCGTGAACACGGAAGCAATAAAAACGATTTTATCTCAAAAATAGTTACATATGATAATATTATTTAATAACACAATAGAGTATTAAAAACTTTCTTAACTTTACATAGAAATACTTAAAAATTGATAAAAAGAAAACCCTGTCCCTGTCTGTACCTTTAAAATATAATATTGTAAATGCTCTCCATTTACAGTACAATCATTAAATCACTGGCGCTACCTTTTTAGGTCTAGGCCTCGGATTTCTGTATGTGTTTCATGATCATTTGTCAATCTAATAGGGTAAAGTGATCAGCCTCCTTTGTCTGAGACACGCCGTCCACTTTTAGGGTCTATGGCAAGTCGATTTTCTCACAATTTTTTCCTTCACCGTTCGAGCGAATGTTAATGCTTTTAAATTTAGAGTACTAATACGATACCATAATCACATATAAAGTTGAAAAACGCATATAAATGAGCTTTATTTCAAAACCCGTAACATTTTGTTGTCCATTCTTTGTACCCGTGAGTCCTTTCGTGTTAAGGAATAACCTATGGTCGAGAGTCGGTGTTAAATCAGGATTAGTCAGACACCGAGACGTCGGCTTTACTGCCCTGTGCTTACCGCATTCAATATGACACATATTTCATACATTTTATAGATTTTTTAGTTAAACTTATACAGGTTCAATAGAATTGTAAAAATTGTTTATAGGAATATTTTGATTGCAAAACTATTTATTTACACGTCGTTATTTTAAATATACATATAAAAAACAGGTTACAGAAGGCAACGGGCGGCCTTATCACTATAGAAAAATTAAAAAAGAAAAACTCAAGTTTTTTACACATATTTTACGTACTATATCGTGGTTTCCTCACGATGTTTTCCTTTACCGTTTGCGCGAATGTGAAATGTGCACATAGACAGAAAGTCCATTGGTGTAAGGGGATCGAACCTACGACCTCAGGGATGAGAGTCGCATTAAAGCCACTGAAACCACTAAGACAATATGACCATAATTATTATAAATACTTGTGGAATATGTTATCAATATGTCTTACATTAGATCTTTAGCGCATCAATGAAACGTTCCAATTAACGTAATAAAATAAATTCAATAACTACCCTAATTAACCATGAAAACTTAGCCAAACGCATCGATCAATATATTCGATTAACAAAAGTTACAATGGTTCGTTACCGGTACCTGCTAAAACGCAATATCACCGTTTTTAATATCCCCTCAATGGTAGCTGATTATATTGTTTTCGATGTTTAGGGCACGATTCGATACGTTAATCGAAAAAAATCGATCATTCGATAGTCGAGTCTATTAAGACGGCACAATGCGTTGGGGAGTGGAGTTAGGGGTGCTAGCGTTTGTTTTTTAGAAACTATTTAATACTGACCCCAGAGCTGGTGCTTTTCTCGCTCAATGCAATGGCAATACAGTGAGAAAATGCCAGCATTAAGGGTGCCAGGGAGCAAACTTTTTAAATTTGTATTTTTATTTATGAATTTTTAATTATTAATTTTAGGTTAAGAATATTGTAAATACTGTATATTAGTGTGTTGGAAATATAGTATGTTATTAGTTTGTTTTAATAATATTTAATAACTACTGAAAGAAGTTATGTTGAGATGAATGAAAAGGCAATTGAAACATGTTTTAGTTTTAAAATAGTGTCGTGTATTGACATTTTCTATTATCATGGCTTACTTAAGCTAATATGCAAATACTACAAACATTTCAACGTTTTACGAGTACTCATGTAATTTTTTTTTAATAAGAATTTAATTATTAACAAGTTTATTATTGTTTTAATTAAAGTGAATTAAAATAAAATCAAATCAAATTAGTGTCATATCTATAAATTTATTTGAGCCATATATCTGGTGATTCCATTTAAGATACTTTTTTGTTGAAATTCACATACCAAGCTCCTGGTTCCACAAAACTAGGGGTGATATTGAGAATGACAACCCTAACTCCCCAGAGACGGCTACCGAATTAAAACTTTCTCTCGTATTAATGAATCGATGAAAGCAAAAGTATGTAGTAGTATTGTTTGCCCCTGATTACCTCAACCCTTGTGTTAATCAAGTAAATAACTCCGCAGGACAATGGATGTTTATTTAGTTTTGTCTGTGATATTAATTGCACAAAAAAACTCTGGCAAGTCTCGTACCGCAGTTCTTCTACCGTAACAAGTGAGATATATGTAATACCAAGTCGGTCAATTTATTCAGTCCCTACTAAAGGGGCGTTTTGTATCAAATTATTATTAATTAGCTAACATAAGAACACACTGACCATATCAATATTACAAATCTTTTACGTTTTAAATACATTGACTTGGCCATCGCATGGAAACACATATCTCACAAGTAATACATGTTTTATTAAATTAGATTGTTTAGTGAGGTTGCCAAGCCAATCTAGTTATTTAAAAGAAAAGGTTATTAATATTGATATGGTCACTATAAGATGTTTTTAGGTTAGCTAATTACGTACCATAAGACAGAAGGTCCTTTAAGTAGAGATTGAACAAATTAATCGACTTGATATTACTTGGATCACACTTTTTACAGTAGAAGAACTGCGTTGCGCTACTTTTTTCAAGTTATGTTTTGATAGCATATATAAGTACTGATATACGGATGGAATCTTAACGTTTAGTTATAATTTAAACAAAAAATTCTTTAACATTGATTTAAAGTGATCACAAGCATTATTTTTAGCAATCACTGTTCTAAATTGCTAACACTCTTTTCAATACATTTTCATCACTAATTTGCAGCTTAACTATCATTTGAGAAGAATGGCTGGACTATATATATTGTTTCGTACGTATGATACAAATAATATAAGAATTGACTTATTCATATGACTAATAATGTAAAATGTAAAATTCCTTTAAAGACAAATTTGCGCGACATTGTGTGTGGCAGAATATGCGAACTTACGATTGTACCGCCTTACACATTTTTGTAACATATTTTTGCAATAAATTATTATTATTCTCTTCACTAACAAAAAAGTGTTGAGTGTTAAGTGGAATATAGTAACTGTTAATTAGGTTTAATAGTTAGTTTAACACGTTCTCTTACAAATAGTAGTATACTAGAAGTGTATAAATGCAAATTTGTTTGCTATACTTTCACGCGTAAACCGTTTTTCCTCTCAGATTGACTTTAATCTTTCGACCCCATCCAGCATCCACTCACTCATATAATCTCGCGCCCTCGCGAGGGTGAAAACATCAACTCGAGTTTAATTATTGTGAAAACATCGATCTAAATTGATTTAAATCTGCCCCTAAGTTGTTTTGTGAAATGCGTTAATTCCTGATAAAAATAGGTTAGAAGGGCAAATCGTAAAATTAGTAAGAAGCGTTTTTATGGGATAGCAGATACTAAAACTAAATAAAACGTTTGGAGTAGACTCTTGGGCCGTGGCATTCAAGTACACAGGCGCTAATTAAAGATTTAAGTTGGTGCCTGGTAGTTAGTACCGGCGGTTTATTTTTTTTTTATTATAACTCTTTAATGTATAATGTTCTACGGTTTCATATTTGTAAATATGTGAGGAACATGTATACTAACAATACAATAATTGTCCTATCTGCTCTGCTGCATTGCTTAATTTGTAAGTAATACTTTGTGCCTATTTTAGTATAGTAGTTTTATTCTAGCAGTACATTGTCTTCATATAATATAATTATTTAACTAATCTATACAAAATATTGCAAAACCTATTTTAAAAGAGTAAATGTGGAGTTTCTTTTCCATTCTTCTCCACACGAAACTACCTTTTGGAAGGGGCAACTCATCTTTATATTTTATTAAACGTTCAAAAGTGCCGTTTTAGGTGGTTTAATTGGAATAAATGATTTGACTTTGACTTTGTGACCCCAGAGCTGGTGCTTTCCTCGCTTAACGAATAAGTATCGCAATAGAGCGAGGAAATGCTGCCAGCATTAAAGGTAGTGCCACAGGGACCAAATTATTTAATTTTCTTATTGATACATTTTTCGTTATTATTAATCATAAGGTTAAGAATATTTTAAATACTGTATAAATGTTGGAAATAAATTAATTTTTAGATCAAAAGTAAAACCTTTTTGGATATGTCCGTTCTTTGACGTTTTATAAACTGATTTTAAGAGGTTTGCAATTGATTAAAGGTGTGTCACAATAAGAAATGCTTACGGTAAAAAATACAACATTTTTTACGTTTAAATTCGCGAGGGCTGGCTTATAAGCAAGTGTTTATTTTAACACCTCGAATTGGTAACAGCGTGCCTTTAATTGGTCTTATTGTTATGTCAATTGCAGTATTAAAGAATTTTTATTTAAAATATGTGGTCATAACATTAAGAGACGACCAAAAGTTTAAATTGTTACTAAATATAATCGAAATAATTGCAGTTATTTTATTATTTTTATCTATGGTTAAGTAAACGTAACCATAGTTAATGGATTACATTATAAATAAAAACAGCAAATGTCTAAAGTTTTGCAGAAACAAAAGTCAAATCATTTACTTCAATTAGGCCAATTAAAAAGGCACTTTTGAAAGTCAAAATGACAAGTTAAAATATTTAAAAAAATTACTCTAGCTTCCCCCTTCCAAAAGGTAGTTTCGTGTGGAGAAGAATGGACAAGAAACTCCACACTTACTCTTTTAAAATAGTTTTTACAATATTTTGTATACATTGATTTGATAATTATATGTGTAGACCTAGGATAAAACAAAACTACTTTACATAAAATAGGCATGGTAACTCTTTAAGTAATTAAATTAACTTAATTCTGTAAGATCTTTTTGACCGAAAACTTTATAGTATTGTTAGGTATAAGGTAACCGATTAGTTAGGTACTGTGGGTACAACATATACTCGTACCATCGTTAAATAGATAATAAGAAGCCTAATAAAATACGATTCGTTAAATAATGATAACAAAGCGTAAAGGTAACTTAAGATGTAAAACCATGTTGACTCAGCACTTTAACTTAATGAAGCGTCGAAAACATGTGATCTAATTTTACCCGATTCGCGTCGATAAAAAATAGAAAAAAACTAAAAAGCGTGTAATGAACGGGGAATGAGTTTACTCTTTATATTAGAGAGGCGCTACAATTCGTTAAAAAATTATGCGAATTAGTAACGCGGTATATTGGTAGGCTTTTCGCTTTGGTTTTTTCCGACCCATACGATTTCTTTTAAATTTTTATAAAGTTCTTTTTCCTGTGTCTTACGTGATTATTTATTAAGAGAAAAAGGTTGTATTTTTTCAATATACATATTTCCAAAGAACTAACTCAAAAATTGTATCGAAATCAATATTTTTTAAATCTGAGCCATAAAAATCCAGCCGTCCCGAGCTGGCCCGCTACTTTTTTAATAGTATAGCTACTAATCAAGTATGTTCGAAATAATAGGTGCCAAAGACAATTAAATTCACTTAAATATTGTGGGGGTCACGCTATGATTAGCCATAAATTAAATAAAACAATGGCCTACCCATAAGATGAAATTGTGTTTTAATATTTTGTTTGTTCTATTATATAATTATTAAAAAACAAGGAAATTACCTGTGCATTGGGTTGGAGTGCTGCTGATATGGCATTTTGCTGCGCGGCTGCAGCTGCTGCGGCGGCCATGCTGGCTCCCAGAGGACCATATGCCGCCCCGTAGTACCCTGACATCGCTTGGCTCATACCTCCACTTGCCATACCTATTGCAAAAAAAGAACACTTATTTGTAATGTATTTTTTATATTATTATGGAAGAAAACTCTACTATAAACTTATATAACTGCACTTATGAATATTTCCTTATAATTATGTAAAAGATAGGAATCATGTCTTGAACCCAAAACCAAAATATAAAAGCGGGAAGAAATGTGACTTTATTTAGTGGTAACAATTTAGTTTTTTCTTAAAAATATTAAGTATTAATTGTTGTTTGTTTTAGGTATAATTTCAGTTTCCTTTTTCTCTATAAATGTTCTTTTATAATATTGATGTGTGTTAGCTTGCTTTTAGCTGTAAGATGGCCTATAATTAAATAAAAACAGAAAACAATCAAACATGCTAAAATGTGTGCACTAATCCAATGAAATCAAATCAATCGCTACACAATTTAATCAGGATAATTTCTCAAAACAAGTTTCAATCTTATTCAAAATGCAATCCATTCCGAAGTCCATTCACCGTGTTGTTTGCCAAGACAGCTTATGGACAGAGGCATTCAGGGCCACAATAGTAAGGCGAGACCTCAGATTTGAGCACCAATTAATTATTTCATTGTGAACTGGACCCTCGAGTGCGATTAACGGCCAGTTCCTTGGGTGTTTATTAAATACAGTTCAGGGTTTGATAGTGTAGAGAAGGGTTTAATTAACTTGTTATGGGAGGATATTGTTTGGATTAAACAATATTGTTACGACTTAAGTATTGTAATAAAGTACAACACATCATATATTATGTTATATCTACATATATGTTACACGCTATGTTTTCATGACATGACAATAAAAAATTAAAAAGTAAAAATAATAAACTTATTACATTTCCGATTTTATACAACTAGTATACGCTATTTAGTAATGCGATTACCTACTTAAAAATAAAAGTATAATTAAATAAAATATTTCAATTAATTTATGTGATTTTATGCATTTTGCTTGCAACTAGGCCATCTTGGTCGCTTATGAAACAAACAAAATTAATATATTATCTAACCAAACATTTAATAATTTATTAAAAGTAGATATTATTTTATACTTTGATGGCAATATTTTGTACATATTAAAATACCTAAAAAGTTAGAATAAGATAAGGATAAAATGCAATCATAAGCTATATCTCAATACAGAATCAAAAAAATCACTTACGTAGTCTAAGAGCAATTCAGAGGTTTTAATAAAAAAACCTTCGAATATGAAGCCTTGTCATCTATGACACATCAATGCCCCACTACGCATTATCGCTCTTCCCAAAATTTAAAAATATTACACCCTCTTGAATTTAATTCTCAAACGCTAATATAGTCCGTAAATAAGCTGGATAAAGCAGAAAATGCTGTGGTCTCGATAAAAAGGGACGTATTTTATTATATTTTATAATTAAATTCGTTGTCATCCGCCATTCTGTCTTTATCTGGTATTGGCGTGAATAACGATGAAATCTCCTCGAACTCGAAGAGTATTATTAATTTAGAATTTGAATTTATTTAATTAACCGATGTCAATAATATATTTGATTTATTTTCCTATTCAGTTGTCAAATCGAATTATGAGTTATGAGGTGATTGCATGTATAATGTATTTAAAGTACAATTTTGCAACCATTTTACGATTATGTTTTTTTTATCTTTTTTTACATAGAACTGGACAGACGATTAGCAACAATCCCATCTGGTGCTAAGTGAAATTAATAAATTGCACATTTTTAATTAAATTAAATCTGCAATTAACATGGTGCCATTAAGGAATGTTAAGTTGCATTTAACATGGTCTAGCATGCATGTCTAGGTACATGGACAGGCCTGCCTGTCCATGAGATGCCTATTTAACCGCCGCTTATGAACCCATATTAAAGTGTTTAGTTCCACTCCTTTGCTAACAGCAAAAAATGTTTGTATTCCAAGTATTCTTTACTAGGTTTAAAAATAAATACTACAAATTTATACGTAGAAAATCTTGCCGTAAAACCTATTAGATTTTCAATTACAACCAACAAAAAAGTACGCAAACCCCACAAGATTCGATACACCCTCACTAACAATTTCGGCCCCCAACTTGGACACAATGGGTCCATTTTCGCCGGCCGCATTCAGGTACAATAATGACCAGCTTCCTACTATATGTTAATACGTAAATATAGTTCGCGTTTATCGATTCGTAAAAGGTCGCGAAGGATTTCCACCGGGCTTCCGGCTTCAATGTGTTAAATTTCTCGGAAAAGTGGTCATTTTCTGAGCCGTCAGGTGTTTTTTATGCTATGGTGATTTGTGGGGTTTAAATGGAAATTCGCTTTGTAAAAAAGGCACACGTAATGATCTAAGATATAAGTTTGCTTCTACTGTATGATATATACAATAGAAGCAAACTTACACGTATTGATGCGAACGGCACTACTCAATCGAGTGATCTCTAATAATTACATTAATTATTCCTTATAGCAACGCAGATAGACTGATTTAAGAAAGCTCTAACGAAATTCTGCCTCCCATTAAATGTATTTATTTCTTTACACTTCGTTGCAGTAATACATAAACACAGCGAGCGATCTCTTCCAGGCAACCACTGTGAGAAAAAATTAAATTAGATAAGGCGTGCGCAAGAAGTGCAAAACTACATTAGACATAAAATTACTTAGACAAAACTAATGGAACAAAGCTAAGCAATTAAAACATAAGTAAACAGTGAAAGGCGCAAATATATATAACCATCAAGTATAAAGTATTTACAACTTTCTTAACCTACAAAGTAAAAATAATTAAAAATTTATAAAAAGAAAATTAAAACAAAATTTAAAAGTTCGGTCCCTGTGGCTTTAATGCTGGCAGCATTTCCTCGCTGTATTGCGATACTTATTCGTTGAGCCAGGAAAGCACCAGCTCTGGGGTCACCGGTACTATCTACTAGGCGCTAACTTAAATCTTTAATGATCGCCTGTGCACTTGAACCCCACGGGATACATAGTTAGATGTATACTTACTAGATTTAATACTTATTAACACGTTCACTGCGTAACAGGCCGATATCGGCCTGCCGCGGTAATTCAGCTGGTGCGGACTTAGAAATCTATGTCCCTCTAGCTGGTGCGTAACGATTATCTCAGGTGTTTGTAAAAATTCGACAGGGACAAATGTATATTTCATCTTCCGGTCAAAATTGTAGGTTTTCCCCATCAAAACATAACGGCAGGCTTTTATCTACCTACCACGCACTGACGCTGCTGTGCATCCGCTGAGTGCGGCAGTGGGCCTATTTCAGCCCGCCCTCCCAACAGGCAGCTGGCGACCCGCTACCGCACAGAGCGCGCGCCCGGCCAGTTAGTGTTGTGCTATCTAACTGATCTAACGTAGCGTTCGACATAATCAACGATGGCAAGCAATACAAGAAAAATACAAATTTTGGAAAATAGAGTAATTCGCCTTGCAGTTATTGATAGTGATAGTGACAGCAGTGAAGAAATATTTTCTACTAAGAAAAATAAAAAGTATTTATGTTTCCAAGACAGGCATACATAAGTAAATAAATACATTTTTCAGTTCTTTTACGATAATTCTGTTTTATTTTCGATATCACCTTATTTCTCTGTCCCATCACTACTAAAAATATATTCTAGTGCGGTTCAGGTCGATATCGGCCTGCCGCTTTTCCTATTTTATTTTTCATTTCCTGTTTGCCAGATCCCGGGGCGAATCAAACCTAAGGAAGTTGGGTTCAAGGTCATTCTAACAATATAAAAAAAAATGTATACATTATGTTTCCACAAAGTTATAGCAATTTAATCTATCCTAGTGCTGTTGGGTCTAGAAAGACCTGCCACGCACCGGCGGAAATATCATTGGGGGCGCATTTTGGCCCGCCGCCGCACCTGATGAAGAATTATGATTTTACTTGCCGCAGTGAACGTGTTAATGATTTAAATCTAATGTAATGACTGTACCCATAGAGTCGAGGGCGCTAAGTGAGACTCTTGTATGTCAAATACGTGCTTAGCCTCTGAATCTTAACTTAAGTAAAGTAGAGTAGCGGGTTTACTATCATTTATATAATTGTCTTTTTATAACATTCCTATTTTTCGAATACTCATAATTACTCGTAAAATGCCTTTAAGAATAACCTTAAAGACTGGCGACAAACCCGTAAGTGTTCATGGCAAACTTTTATTAGAATTCAATAACCACATTGTTTGCCTCGTGTCCCATAAAAAAACGTGACCGAAGTTTTTCTCTGCTATTATAGGCTATAATTAAGAAATTAGTCAAAGTCAAATAACGCTAGAATATTTTTAGTAAGTATCCTTATATTGTACGGTTTCTCCAATTACCCTTTCCCTTTGATATGAAAGGGTCAACTACGAGACAACCATTTGTGTAAGATTTCGTTGAGATTAAAAGAAAATTTACTTTGAAATGAGGAAACAATATTGAAAATAATAATCTTGTTTTATACAATTACAAATTGTTACATAACTCTTTAGCGAGGTTCCAAAAATTATTACAGCTAATACATATCCATATTTAAAAAAAAACACTTAGACAATATACAAACCAAAAACAGATTACTTTTATAAAGAAAATAATATATGAAACAGAAAACATAATTGTACAGTAATAGACAAGTAAGAGGCTGAAATAAAATTTAATATATTAAATAAAAATCTAACTTGTTACAACTGCGAAATAAAGTCAGTCTTTTCGCCTCTTAAATTATTTCCTTGCATCCTCTTTGGTAAGATTGTAAATATAAACATCTTCATTATTTGTGCCATAGCTAAAACCCGAAACATTGGCGAATTACGCAGATAATTCGTGTTCGTACGAGGCTCATGCAACAATTGTGAATATCTTGCGCATACTGTGGAGGCATTCATAGAGAACGTGCTATCGTTGATGATAAAGTAATCGTAAAAAACCTATATTAGGATACCGTAACCGTCCAGCTTTTGCGTAATCCGTTTCGATTATCCACGCCTAAAACATCTCAACAAAATGA